CCAAGCTTGGAGTTTTCATCCTTTCATTCTTGTAGTATTGAGTCTTGTCTTGTTTGATTTGCTTCCATCTTATTTCATGCTTTATTTAAGTGTCCAATTGAGTCTATTTCATATCCATTTAATCAATCACTCATCTTACCACACTCGTGAGAATTTGATTCGTATGTTGATTGCAACAGTTGAAGGAACTCTAATTTCTTCAAGGAGCTAATCAAGGGGTCTTAAGAATATTTGGTGAGATTAATAGAGTGCTATGTGATAAACACGAGTGTTGAGTGCATATATGTGAGCTTGTGTGTGGTGAGGAATTCTTTCCTTTTGTTTTTTGCTAACCATCTTTGCAGGTTTCACTCTAAGATGTCTTACCAAGATTGGAAGAGTTTAGATGCAGTTTTAGACATAATGAGGGAAGAATTTGATCAGATTTTAGATGGAGTTTTCGCACCTCTTCATAGATGACTTGATCGAATAGAGAAGAGGGAAGCCAAGAGGAGAGGTTCCATGCAATCTAACAGTGATAAAATGCCAAATCATGAGTTTCATACCCTCAAGGAGGAATGGATTGTGATCGTGCTCTAAGAGCTTATGAAAGATATAGATGTGTGATGGTATGAGGAAGAATAAAGATGGTTGCAACATGTGTCTAGAAGAAGTTCATCCTCTATACCAAACGAGTTTCACTTGAGGAGTCTAAGAAATCTAGAAGTAGGATACGGCATGGTGAGCAAAATGAAGAAAGGCGACTTCCTTGGAAGGACTAGAAAATTTCATCACATTCTTCTAAGTCTCAACCTTTGGTAGAGCCACATAAGGAGGAGTCCTTGTCGGAGACTTATCAACGTCTTCTAGGGGAAGCAAATAAAGGAGCGTGTTACATCTAATGCTCAAGCATCTCTTAAAAGGGATTTTGTTGAGGCCATTACTGGTGAAGAGTCTTCATGCATCAAGGATGAACAAAAGGAGCTTCAAATTCCATTTACACTAGCTACTAGTCAAGCATTAATTGAAGAGGAAATGTGTGAGAATTGTGAGGTAAAAATTGAGGGAAGTGCAAAGAAGAAAATGAATGAAAAATCAAATGAGTTGAGCAAGAAAGAGGAAGAAAAGAAGGAAGGTGAGTTGATTTTGACTGCCAACAAAAATGAGAGTGAGGGGACTTATTGCTTTCCTAATGACCTTAACTATGCTTTGTTTAATGTCTCTTCTTTTGTACAAGTTGAGCAACGAGCCATCACCTTCATCTTTAATTGTTCAATGCCTAAATCCATTGGCAAGTTCAAGAGTTTCCATGGAGTGTGTACTTTGAGTGTTGTCACTCATTGTTATCGACTCATGATACACTTCAAGACTGGTCTACTTGTTGCGCATCATAATGAAGTGGCGAAGGGAGTAGCTGCACTCCAATCATGAAGTTTTAAAGCTGTTCAACTATTTCCAATTTCACCTAATGAAGTGCATTCAAATCTGATGCATACTTTAGTGCTTGTTGCTATCGTTTTGAGAGCTTTTTTCTAGCAGAAGCCTATTCCAGCCTCCCAAATCTAGTTTCTAATTATTCCTTTTGTCTACTTCAAGTATTGCTAGGCCATATGATTCATATGAAGTGGATTTCAACTCTTTGTTGCCTCATATGTTGGACAACATGGATATTTGTGTCAAGCAAGATCCGGAAGATGTCCCTAACTTGCTGATTCATGCTCCTAACAACATGCAAAAAGTTTGGTTCGTCGCTCCATTTGTGTCCATGAGTCTCTTTCGATTACGAGCGCGACATGCATTGTGGCTATCTTTCCTAAGACGGTTTCTCCTTGTTGTCTTTGAACATAGCACTTGGCTTGATTATAGCTTTGTGAAGCTAGTAGAGCCCGCTAAATGGTGATTCAACATAGATTCTACATCTTGAAACCAAGCCAATTTTGAAGCTGCTTGATGATAATGAAACCAATCAGCAAAAAGCATTAACGCTGCAAAAAATCAATGCACCAATTGCGTTACCTAAAGTTTTTGATCCCGGTGGAATGTATGGTGTTCATGCTGTGTTCCATTCTTTTCCATTCGGATTTGATGACAAATCTTTTTCAAAAGGAGGGGAAAGATGAGAACAACAAGATCCAAAGTCATATTCAAGTCCACGAAAATTTCGTTTACTTAAGGTTGATCATGCTTTGTGTGTTGGCCTGATGCGAATGAGCAAGAGAATCATGGTGTTCAAGTAGACCCTGTGAAGGTTCCTAAAGGCCCAGTGACACGAGCACGAGCTAAGAAATTCAAAGAATCGCTTCAAGCCTTGGTTCATGCCGTTCAAGCTCAAGAGAAACCAAGCATTAAAGGAATTGACATGGAAGGTGCAAGTGATCAAGCTTCGATTGACAATTAGGCTTAGATTAATGAGCTCATGTTGAGCCTAGGGGCTGGCCGTGTAGGCCTTAGTCTATTAATGCTTTAGTTAGTTAATTAGTTAGTAGTTAGTGGGTTAGTTCGGCCAAGAGAAAGCCCAAGTGCTGGCCGAAACTCCTTTGCCAAGTTTCCAAACTTTATTAGGTTTAGACAAGGCTATAAATAGCCCCAAAGTTGATATTACATTCAGTTTTTCGATATTATTAATAAAAATTCCAGAAATTTGCTTTCTTTGAAGCACTTTTCCTTTAGCTTGTGAAAGCTAAGTTGAACACCCTAGAATTGATCCTAGGTTGTTTCTTGACTTATCAATCAAGCACCACACTTGATTGTGGTGTCTTCTACCATCAAATTAAAGCTTGAGTGGTCCAAGTTTGGAGGTCGAATCCATCAAAGTCCCAACGTGTCCCTTAAAGGTGTAGGGTTTGCTTCCGCGTGTCGTCTTCTTAGTGCCCGTGGCTCAAGGAATCACACTTGATTGTTTTGAGTCTATTTTTGTCCTTCATAATCGTCACTACGTGTTAGAGTTGTCAAGTCCAAAATCTGTCTTGCTTGTTCCATTGTCGCGTTTGTTGCGTAGTTGTTGTTCGAATTTGCTATCCAAATTTGTCATTGTGTTTGTGCCACAATTCTATTTTGAGTCAGCACTTTTGTTGTGTTGCTTGTTCGTGTCGTGTCCAGCAAGAGAAAAAAAAAAGAGTCACGGCAACTAGGGTTTCTTCTCTTATTGTCGTTTCTCAAGTAGTCTTGTTTGGTGTTGTAAATCTGTCCAGATTTCTGGTTTGTTCATTGCTACTGGTTGTTGCCTAGATTGTGGAAAAATTCTTGTGGTTATTGTGTGTTTGGGGTTGTGGAAACAACCCAGCAAAAAGTCAAATAAAAGGTGTCACATACCTTATTATTTCTGGTGTCATTGCTGGAATTTGCTCTTGGGGGGGCTGATGAACCTGTTTTGCCTTTATTTCTTGAACTTTTGTGCTGTTTCTTGCAAAACTCGAATACCAAAACATATTTAGGGAAGTTCTTGAGCTTCTTGAATGAATTTCTTGAAGTTCTTGGACCACCAAAGACTGATTTGGGAAGTTCTTGAAACCAAATTGTGGGGTTCTTGATACTTGAAACAATCTTCAATCTTGTCTTGGCAAATCTTGAAGTTGGATTCGAATTCAAGGAAATTCTTGGGACTGGAGTTACGTGCTTGAAATAATCTGTTGAGCCACAAAAGAAACAAAAGAAAGAAAGAAAAGAAACCAAAAAGAAAAAAAAAAAAAAGAAAGAAAGATATTGGCTCTAGTTTCCTAATTGTGCACCAAGTCCCACCTTGACTCCAACTAATCCTAATTCTGTTGGGATTAATAGCAGCCAAGAATCCATCGACCAAAGGCCCAAGTTCCCTTCCAACCCACCTAAAATAGCCCACCTTACACTGCAATTCCGTTTCCAAAACCCCAAAGCCAACCGCCACACCTTGTGTGCCAATCCAGCTCGTATTCTTGAATCGGTTGAGCAGCACCTTGTGACCTGATTTGGCTGAGTTTTAAGGTCTGATGAATACACCAAAATAGCACCCTTAACGTACCAAAAACCCAGCAAGTCTTGACGAAAAATACCAAGAAAATTGCAAACCAGATTTCCAGCAATAAGTCACTCTTTCTTTGAGTCTTGTCTAGATTTTCTTAAAATTTCAGCCGTGAGTTGTTGGTCTATCTTGTGTCCAGTTTCTTAGTCTTAATATTTCAGTCTTGATCAGCGTGTTCACCTCATAATTGTTCCATTCATTGCTGCTATCTTGTGTCACTTGTTGACTAGTCAAGAAACGATCCTTACGGTCATTTCTAGTTTGCTCAACCAGAGCAACTAGCAAGCCTAAGGAAATTGCTTGTGAGACTATTAGAGAGTGAAACACGAGCGTGAGTGACCTATACATTGTATAGAAAAAAAAGAGAAAAGGAAAAAAAAAGAGACAGGAAGTCGTTTGTTTAATTTCTTTTGCAGGTTTACCTAAGCATGTCTAGTGGAGTTGGTGACCAAACAATGGACCTTAAACTACAACTGGAAGCCATGATGGGGGAATTCAAGCGAATGCTTAAAAACTCTATCGAGCCTTTGCATGAGAGGATTGACCAGTTGGAGAACTCGAGGCTACCACCTAGCTCGAGTAAAGGCAAAGAATCGGCATACTCAAATGATGAGGAGGAAGCATTTGAAGGGAGGTACCAAACTGACCAACATGCACAAAGGCGAGGAGATGATGCCATTAAGGGTGTCAAAAACTCAAAATTCCTTCCTTCCAAGGCAAGTCAGATCCCGAAGCATACTTGGAATGGGAAAGGAAGATTGAGCTAGTCTATGAATGCCACACCTACACAGAAGAACAAAAAGTAAAACTTACAGCCGTGGAATTCACAGACTACACCTCTATCTGGTAGGACCAATTACGACTAAGCCAAAGGAGAAATCGAGAGAGACCCGTGGAGACTTGGGAAGAAATGAGGAGCCTAATAAGAAAGAGATTCGTACCGAGCTACTATAGCCGAGACTTACACCGTCGGCTATAAGCTCTCACCCAAGAGTCCTTGTCAGTCGAGAATTATTACAAGGAAATGGAGATGGCCATTATGAAGGCAGATTTGCATGAGGATAGCGAAACCACCATGGCTCGATTTTTGCATGGTTTGAGGCCGAAGATTGCCGAAGTAGTGAAACTCCAACATTATCTCGACATGAATGAAATGCTAGAAAAGGCGGTCACAGTTGAACGGTGCCTCAAGAGGAGGGGTAGTGCACGAGAAAGCACTACATACCAAGGTGGAAATTGGCGCCCTCCTCAACCAAAAAGAGAGGAGAAGGCCACGGCTCCTTCTAACCCTCCAAGGCCGAGTGTCTTTCCTTCCAAGGCAACGGCCAAGACCGAGTTTAAGGCTAATAATGGAGCTTTCAAACCTCGTGGCCGAAACACCAAGTGCTTTAAGTGTCAAGGATTTGGCCATATCGCCTCCCAATACCCCAACCAAAGGACCATGCTATTGTTGCCAAATGGGGAGGTTGTATCAGATGAGGAAGAGGAGTATGAAGGAATGCCACCTCTAGAGGAGGAAGAAAATGATTCAAGTGAGGAGATACCTACACATGAGGAGATCGGTTGCTTAGTGGTTCGAAAGGTCCTTACTACGCGAGCCAAGAAGGAGGAAATGGAGGTACAACGGGACAATCTTTTCTACACAAGGTGTCACATCAAGGATAAGGTTTGTAGTATTGTTATTGATAGTGGGAGTTGTGCCAATGTAGCTAGTCTACTCACGGTAGAAAATCTAGGGCTCCCAGTTGTCAAACATCCTAGACCTTATCGCCTTTAATGGTTGAACAACGAAGGGGAAGTCCATGTGTTTCGACAAGTAAAAGTTCCATTCCGAATTGGCAAGTATGAAGATGAAACTGCGTGCGATGTTGTGCCAATGCAAGCAAGTCATCTCATACTCGGGTGACCTTGGCAATAAGATCGAGATGTCGAATTCAAAAGGAAGAGCTAACAAATATGTTTTCACTCATTGTAATAGAAAAGTGACTCTTGTACCCCTTACCCCAAAACAAGTGTTTGAAGATCAAATGAGATTGTAAAAGGAGTATGAGCTAGATCTTGAAAGGAAAAAGCGAGAAAAAGGTGAGGAAGAAAAAGGAGAGAATAGGGCCGAACCTCTAGGGAAGAAAAATGGGTCGGCCATGAGAGAAAAGAACAAAGGGAAGCTAAGCTTGCTAGCAAAATTCAAAGATGTAAAGTGAGCTTTGTCTTCCAACCAACTCTTACTTGTACTTGTGTGCAAAGAAGAGTTGGTCATCTCATCTATCCCTACTAACTCTTTACCTCCCAATATTTTCTCTCTCTTGCAGAAATTTGAGGACATATTCTCTGAGGACGTGCCCAATGGACTACCACCCCTAAGGGGAATCAAGCACCAAATTGACCTCATTCCGGGCATCCCACTGCCTAACAAACCTGCCTATCGAATGGGCCCTGAGGAAACAAAGGAGTTGCAAAGGCAAGTGGAGGAACTACTAAGGAAAGGCTGGGCTCGAGAAAGTCTAAGTCCATGTGCTATACCAGTGATTCTCGTGCCAAAGAAGGATGACACCTGGAGAATGTGCACCGACTGTAGAGCAGTCAACGCTATCACGGTAAAGTATCTTCACCCTATCCCTAGGTTAGATGATATGTTAGATGAACTGCATGGTGCCATTATTTTTACCAAAATTGACTTGAAAAATGGCTACCACCAAATAAGAATGAAAGAAAGAGATTAGTGGAAAACCGCTTTCAAAACTAAACATGGTCTTTATGAGTGGTTAGTAATGCCTTTCGGTTTAACTAATGGACCTAGTACCTTCATGCGCTTAATGAACCATGTTTTGAGACCTTTCCTTGGAAAATTTGTTGTTGTTTATTTTGATGATATTTTGATATATAGTAGAAGTTTAGAGGAACACCTTTAACACCTCAAAACTGTTTTTGAAGTACTTCGAAGGGAGAAGCAATATGCCAACCTTAAGAAGTGCACGTTTTGCACTGACTGTGTGGTGTTTTTAGGCTATGTCGTTAGTGTACAAGGTATCCATGTAGATGAAAAGAAGGTCAAGGCCATTCAAAAATGGCCGACACCTACCTCTGTTAGTGAGGTGCGCAGTTTTCATGGACTAGCTAGCTTTTACCGCCGCTTTGTGAGAGATTTCAGCACCATTGCAGCACCACTCACTATGGTCATGAAGAAGAATGAGAAGTTCATTTGGGGGAAAGCACAAGATAAGGCCTTCCAATTACTCAAACACAAACTCACACATGCACCACTTCTTGCATTACCTAACTTTGACCTCACTTTTGAAGTGGAATGTGATGCATCAGGTGTTGGAGTTAGAGCCATACTAATGCAAGGTGGGAAGCCAATCACCTACTTCAGTGAGAAACTAAATGGCGCGGCGATCAACTACTCGACCTATGACAAGGAGTTATATGCCCTTGTAGGTGCTTTGGATGTGACGCCCCGAAAAGAATGAGTGTGAGAACCCGGAAATTTTCACATTTTCTAGGGTTTATTTTATTTAATCGCCCGCCTTTTCTACATTTTCTTTATTAGAAAAATTCCCCAGATAAAGTTTATGAGCAAAGATAGTTTTAAAATGATTTTTCTAGCATCGGTTAGTTTTTGAGAAATTAAGAGCGTATTTTGAACGTGGGACCCGCTAGTGCGGTAAATGCATTATATTTTTGACAACTTGTTGGAATTTTGTATTAAGTGATATTATTGTACAATGTGTTAAGATATTTGTATTGGAGAGACAAAAAGATAAGTTTTGAACCAAAAGGTGACAAGTGTCACCATAAGATTAAGTCTTGAGTTTGACTACTATTCATAACTTTACCATTTAATTCAAATTGGCCCAAAAATCACTTCATTTTGCAAGCTTCTTGGCCGAATGTTCTTGCTCAAGAAAGAAAGAAAAGCTCTCAATTTCTTCCTTCTATTTCTTGCTCAATCTTCAAATCCAACCAATAAAACTCCAAATCATTCCATAAAATCTCTTTGCTAAGTGGTCTTGAGGTGTTTTGTGGAGTTGTTTGGAAAGCTAAGGTGATTTGTTGCTCTATCTCTTGTATGGCTAAGGTGAGTTGTGAAGAACCACTCTCCTCCCTTAATTGATGTTCAATTCATGATTGGAGGTGGTATAAGATGCACTTTTATGGATTATTTCTTGATTTGTGGTTGAAGTGATGAGGTTTTATTATTTTTGGGGATTTTCTGTTTTAATATAAGCATGATTGTGTGGCTATCTATGATGATTGGAAATGGTATATAATTACTCTAGGAGGTGGAAAAAGTGATTAATTGCAACCAATTTCTGGTTTGGAAGAAATTTCAGAAAACTAGGGTTCTTGAAGGAGCATTCTGTCCGAATTTTTAGGTCCTAGTTAGAGGCCGAATTGGCCTTAGCTTAAAACATGAAAGTTGTAGGGAATGACATTTTAGAGGTGCCTGAAAAATTTCAGGTCAATCGGAGTAGCGTAGAATGAGAAACGTTGAAATTACTATTGCTGTTCTGGTTTTACCCGAATGTAAGAATTGCGCCTGAAATTGGTTGTTTTGGCTGGAATTGCTTCCGAATTGGTTGTTGAGGTCTTCTGATGAAATTTATCCCTGCTTCTTATCTTTCAGTTGGTTTTGGAATTTCTGGATTTGGACTTGGATAGCCTGTTTTATGATGTTTCCGCTAGAATGCGTTCTGTGAATCTGTTTTTGTGATTCTGGTATGGTATCTTGCATTTTTGACCTGGTTACACTCGAAACTGGGTTGAGTGACCTTCTGTAATATTGTAACCCTGTCTCTTATCTTCGAAACGGTGGGTCTTGCACCTTCATCCAATAATCGTAGCGCCTTTGGTACCATTACCGGAAAATGACATCAAAACCTGTTTTTCTGGTTTTGAGCTTAACTTTCATTTCCGGACTTTTCCCTAGCTTGACTTGTACTAGTACTACTTGGAGCTTGCTGAATGGCTATTGGATGAACTTGTTGTTGTCTGTGTACCTTTGGGTTGGAATGAGGAAATAATGAAGCCTTGATGGCTGGGAAAGTAAAGAAAGATAAGAGGAAGTGTTGTCCGAATTTTGAAAGGACTTGTTTGCATTGAGTTTGTGAACTAAGGCTTGGATTTGAGCAAGGCAATGTTATATGATGGATGGTTTCTGAGCCATGGAGGTGAGTGACCTCAAACTATTTCTAAAGTTATTTATGAACCGTTTCCTGCATTATTTACTTGTAAACTGTTTCCAAAGTTACTTTTGAACAGTTTTCTTGCATATCATGCGTGCTTGCATATGAGTGTTCCTTGTTGTTGTATTCCTTGACTTATTGGCTTGTTATTATTGATTGGTAATGCGTTAAGTGCTTTCGATGATTGTTAAAACGAATTTTCTAGGCGAGTGTGTACTTTATCGCACTCGACCTAAATAAATATGAAATTTTCAATGATTAATGATTAAATGCTAGTTGCGCATGAATGTAAGCCGTTTGGCTGAACTGGCCACTGCCCTTCGTTACCGATCAACTCGAGCCAGAAGCGGACTCGGTCGGGCGATATGGTGACCCTGGGTGAATTTGGTATACTCGAGTATTACCTTGCAGTCCGGCTACGTCCGGATGGGTGGAGTCCGGCCAATGGTCGGATGGGTGGAGTCCGGTCAACGTCCGGAAAAGGGGATGAACGAACAAAAGGATGAACGAGGGATTCTACTTACAAAAAAATGTATTTTCAAACGATTGGAGGAATAAGGGGGAATGTCAAGGGAACGAACGAACAAACGAATAGCTCCATGTGAGCCCGTATCCTTTTAATGAATGTTACTATCGCTTTCCATTGTACATGTTTCTTGAATTATTGATACTCCATATTTAATGTCTTGTAAATGTTGAAATTGTTTTTGGACTTATCATTTGATTTATGACATCATTGATTTATGATATCATTGAAATGAACTATTGTGAAACCGATTTGATTACTGATTTTTCTGGTTACTCGCTGAGCTTTTAGCTCACCCCAAAAATATTTTATTCCCCTCCACAGGGCTTAAGGCGAAGGAAGGGCTTGTAGTACTTGTGCACGTGATTAGATGGCCTATGTTTTGTACAATTTGGATTTGGAATCATTTTATGTATAGTTGGGAATCGTTTCCGCTTCGCTTATGACATGTAATTTTTGGAGAATTTGATGTATATTGGAGATTTATATTGTAATATTTGAGGTTTATTCTTGTAATTCATTTGAGGATTGTAGTGAACGACTGAGTCCCGGCGAGAGCTGGGCAGGCGGCCCGCCGAACCCTCTGGTTCGCCTCAGGGGAAGGTGGGGCTGTCACAGTTGGTATCAGAGCCTTATGCCGACAGTTGGGACTTTAAGTCCTTCGTCTGGAAAAGCCCCGAGCCTTTCGTTCGTGAAGAGTCACGAAGCGAAACTCTCCGTAGGGGATGCCCGCGTGCGGGTGGCAAGCTGATAGGTACCCCGTGATGTGACCCTGAGAACTGTCACAGTTGGTTTCAGAGCTTAGGCTTCAGATCTCTGTAGTGTATCCTAGGCTTGAAGTTTAGGATGCCGGACTGTGGGTTTGGTCTGAAATATTAGTGATTTTTGCGGGATGTCTTGACTTGATTGGTACAAGATGGAATGTCGAGGACGACATTCTTTTAAGGAGGGGAGATTGTGACGCCCCGAAAAGAATGAGTGTGAGAACCCGGAAATTTTCACATTTTCTAGGGTTTATTTTATTTAATCGCCCGTCTTTTCTACATTTTCTTTATTAGAAAAATTCCCCAGATAAAGTTTATGAGCAAAGATAGTTTTAAAATGATTTTTCTAGTATCGGTTAGTTTTTGAGAAATTAAGAGCGTATTTTGAACGTGGGACCCATTAGTGCGGTAAATGCATTATATTTTTGACAACTTGTTGGAATTTTGTATTAAGTGATATTATTGTACAATGTGTTAAGATATTTGTATTGGAGAGACAAAAAGATAAGTTTTGAACCAAAAGGTGACAAGTGTCACCATAAGATTAAGTCTTGAGTTTGACTACTATTCATAACTTTACCATTTAATTGAAATTGGCCCAAAAATCACTTCATTTTGCAAGCTTCTTGGCCGAATGTTCTTGCTCAAGAAAGAAAGAAAAGCTCTCAATTTCTTCCTTCTATTTCTTGCTCAATCTTCAAATCCAACCAATAAAACTCCAAATCATTCCATAAAATCTCTTTGCTAAGTGGTCTTGAGGTGTTTTGTGGAGTTGTTTGGAAAGCTAAGGTGATTTGTTGCTCTATCTCTTGTATGGCTAAGGTGAGTTGTGAAGAACCACTCTCCTCCCTTAATTGATGTTCAATTCATGATTGGAGGTGGTATAAGATGCACTTTTATGGATTATTTCTTGATTTGTGGTTGAAGTGATGAGGTTTTATTATTTTTGGGGATTTTCTGTTTTAATATAAGCATGATTGTGTGGCTATCTATGATGATTGGAAATGGTATATAATTACTCTAGGAGGTGGAAAAAGTGATTAATTGCAACCAATTTCTGGTTTGGAAGAAATTTCAGAAAACTAGGGTTCTTGAAGGAGCATTCTGTCCGAATTTTTAGGTCCTAGTTAGAGGCCGAATTGGCCTTAGCTTAAAACATGAAAGTTGTAGGGAATGACATTTTAGAGGTGCCTGAAAAATTTCAGGTCAATCGGAGTAGCGTAGAATGAGAAACGTTGAAATTACTATTGCTGTTCTGGTTTTACCCGAATGTAAGAATTGCGCCTGAAATTGGTTGTTTTGGCTGGAATTGCTTCCGAATTGGTTGTTGAGGTCTTCTGATGAAATTTATCCCTGCTTCTTATCTTTCAGTTGGTTTTGGAATTTCTGGATTTGGACTTGGATAGCCTGTTTTATGATGTTTCCGCTAGAATGCGTTCTGTGAATCTGTTTTTGTGATTCTGGTATGGTATCTTGCATTTTTGACCTGGTTACACTCGAAACTGGGTTGAGTGACCTTCTGTAATATTGTAACCCTATCTCTTATCTTCGAAACGGTGGGTCTTGCACCTTCATCCAATAATCGTAGCGCCTTTGGTACCATTACCGGAAAATGACATCAAAACCTGTTTTTCTGGTTTTGAGCTTAACTTTCATTTCCGGACTTTTCCCTAGCTTGACTTGTACTAGTACTACTTGGAGCTTGCTGAATGGCTATTGGATGAACTTGTTGTTGTCTGTGTACCTTTGGGTTGGAATGAGGAAATAATGAAGCCTTGATGGCTGGGAAAGTAAAGAAAGATAAGAGGAAGTGTTGTCCGAATTTTGAAAGGACTTGTTTGCATTGAGTTTGTGAACTAAGGCTTGGATTTGAGCAAGGCAATGTTATATGATGGATGGTTTCTGAGCCATGGAGGTGAGTGACCTCAAACTATTTCTAAAGTTATTTATGAACCGTTTCCTGCATTATTTACTTGTAAACTGTTTCCAAAGTT